CGCCCTCCCTGCTGACCCCCCCCCCTTTCAGTGCATCCTGACTGGAACCTGGCAGAACGACCTGGGCTCTAACATGACCATCTCTGCCGTGAACGAGGCCGGGCAGTTCTATGGGTCGTACCTCACAACGGTGTCAGCTGCAGAAAAGCCGATCCTCGTGTCGCCCCTGAACGGATCCCAGCACATCGACGACATGGGGCAGCCGACCTTCGGGTTCACCGTCACGTGGAGCTTCTCAGGTACGTGTCCCAACGGCTTCGGGGACCGTGCGGGCGGTTGCGGGGAGAGGAACTCGGTGCTTGATGGATAGGCTGAAATCCCCCCAGCTCCACCCTGGGGCAGTGCCTGGCACCCCCCACCCCCCCACCCGGCCTACCCCAGCCCATCTTTTGCAGCCTCCTCCTCTCATTTGTGCCCCTGCCTGTCTCAGGCCACTGCTTCAGCCTGCCACTGCCTTCCCGTCTGGGCACCCAATGGCCAGCAACCCGCTGTGGGTGATCCGGCTCATCACGGAGCAGGATCCTCCCCCGCCCGCCCCCCGACACTGAGTAACTTTGGTTCCTGCGCCAAAGTCGCTGCCGTCGTCACACCGCCTCTCTGGGCGGGGAACAGCCGTTTGCCCTGGGACACTTCCGTCCCGGTGGGGCACGTTTTGGCAAAGTGGTTGCATTTGCCACGTTGTCGACATTCTTGTCCATATGCAGGACGGCTCCTTACAGCGAGGCCACGGCCACATTGAGAACAACCCTTAGCCTCTCTCTACACTACACAGTATTGAGCAACACGGCCGAGTCACTAAAAGTCGGGCAGTGTAAACACTGTTTGTGCCGACAAAAGTGCCGACAAAATACTTCCACCCCCTACGAGTGGGGTTCGCGTTGTCGAGAGGAGAGTTCTGTCCATGGTGTCAGAGCCTGTCAGAAACATTAATGATCTCACTGCACCCCAGCGGGAGGACAATGGCCTTACCCCAGCAACGGGGGGAAACTGAGGCACAGAGATTAAGGCCAAAATTTACAGAACGCCCCAGGAATTGGGGTGCCTCAGCGGCTGGGTGCCTAGCGTAGGACACACAGGGCCTGTGCACCTGCAGCTCCCACTAACCACGTGCAGCTGTGAGCGCCGAGCACGTCGGCACACCAGGCCTGGCCACATGATCTGGGGCGCTCAGCTATCTCCCTGGGGCCCAACCTCCAAACTGATTGTGACAATATTGGAACAATCAAGTAAATGCACTGTCGCATCTCCCCCCAAATCCTCTGACAGCCGGACGGGTCTGTCTAGCTGGGTCTGCAGCCGCCCGGACTCTTCCCAGGAAGTGTCCATTGTCGCCCTAGCATGATCTCAGCTCCAGCAAAGGGAGCCCAAGTGCCGGCTCCCTGTGAGTCTGACCCATGCAGCGCTGAAACCCCCGGGGCTGGTGTGCACCAGGCACTTCCCTGGAAATGGTCCCTGTAGCCAAGACCTGTGAGGTCAGAGTTCCTGGGGTCCATCCTGGGCACTGCCAGTGACTCACTGGGGCCTTGGCCGGTCACTTCCCTTCCGTACGAGATCACTGTCCAGCCCCACCTCCCAGGCTGGGTGTGGTGCCTGGGACGTGCTTGTGAGAGAGATGTGCAGGAGCGTGAGATCATCACACGACTGGCACTCAGAGCACTCCCTCTCCCTCCCCACGCTCGTGGGCACCGTCCGGGGACACCGGGGCTCTGGGGGTCTCGGGCCGAGTGTCACTGACGTTCGCTCTAACTCCTGTTCGATTCCCTGGCAGACTCGACAACCGTCTTTGTGGGCCAGTGCTTCGTGGATGATCACGGGGAGGAAACTCTGCAGACCATGTGGCTGCTGCGAGAGAAGGTCAAATCTGCAGAGGATAACTGGAAAGCAACCACGTGAGTGACTGGGAATCCTCATTCCCCGGGGAGCAGAGAGGTCTCTGGTGGTCTGGGCTCCCCGTCCCAGCCTGTGTGGAGGAGACTCAGGTGATGGGGTGGGGAACAGGCCTGTGGCCAGAGGAGACAGGCACTGGTCTGCAGGGGGGCAGCAGTGCA